AATTATTTTCATTCATATACAAAACTCTTTCTAGGATTGCATATATTTAGGATGAACGATTTATGCAGTCTGAAATAAAGCAAAAATTAATATAAAAAGGGGTTAACATAATGCTCGATTTTAAGGGTTAATTGTGTGAGTTAAGGAAAATAATTATATTTTTTAATGTCATGGAATTTACCGTTAGCTTTTTGCGTTTATAGAAATTTGAAAAAACGTACGATTTCGGAAATATAAGGTGTCAAAAATTCAAATTTTACAAATTTCAAGGGGCGATAACTTGAAAGGGGGTGGAGATGGAAAAAAATTTTCTTCTAACGAAATGAACTATTTGTTAATGTCTAAAAGTCTCTAAAATTTCAAGCTTCTACAAGCTGGGGTCTAGAAGAAAAACGACATCAAAAATTTGGAAAAAAAAGACTTTAGATAACGGTAAATTTGAATGCTTATGGTTTCATTGCAACAAAAAGTTAAAAAAAGGCCATTTTTAAGGTTTTGGGGGGGTATAACTTCTGGAGGGGGGGAGATAGGTAAAAATTTTGTTCTACGGAAGTAAGTTTCTAGTAAAGATCTATGTACATATAAAATTTCAGCTTTCTATCTTCAAGGGTGTAGAAGTTTTGTAAACAAAAAAAGTGTCCACGGACGGACAGAGTGAAACTAATAAGCACTTTTTTCAAAAAATTTTTTGGAAAAGTGCTAAAAATGAAATGGAAAAAGAACTACTTAAACAATACAACGAATAACGAGCAGCAAACGGAATAAATAAATAAAAAATTTTTGATAAGTTTAATGTTTGATAAACTCATAATTAATTTTCTTTTTTAAAATTAAAAATTGTACTTTTCTGAATTTTAATTAGCTATATACATATATAAATTTTATGAATTTTTGTTTTTCAATTTATTATTATATTGCTTTATTTTTTTTTTAACTTTTCTTTAAATTTAATGAATTATTATTAGTAATGGAAAATGTACCGATTATTTTACATTTCTTTAAATTGAATTTGTATATTAACATACTTATTAAACAACACTCTGTATGAGCAAAATTGCTCTCTTGAGATATGAAATTAAATATAAAATAAAATAAATAAACAGAGATTTCAGTTATTTTTATGATAATGATAAATATGCGAAAAGTTTTATGGAAAGCGGCGTGTCAATGTTAATCCAGTATTCAGAGTGCCAAGAATTGTACAAGTTACTCGGTGTAAGATTTGTGTTCTTTTATTGCAAATTTTGCCACCTGTATGGATATCTTTCTTGCTTGCCAAAACAATTTGGCAAATTTAATTTTACTAAATTTTACTAAATTTTTTAAATTTAATTTTAATATTTAAAAATATTGTTGACCGAAATGTTTAGTAAAACAGTATGTGTAAACCTTGATGCAATTTTTATTTTGGCAAACGACCATAGTCTCCGCATGGGTGATCCGTTTCGTTACCCTTGCATAACAAATGTAACACAGTGCTCGAAAGAAAACAACGGTCTGCAAATTGCCAGTATTTAACAATATGTAATTATCAGCTTATGATATTTATATATTATATACATACATACATATATTATACATAAATCCAGACCTATCATGAATTTCGTAGCTCTGAAATTCGGAAAATTACGATTATAGGCCTTTTCATAAACTCAGTATATCGCGATATATAGCGAATACTGCACTATATATCTGTTCATATCGAATATTTCTGTTCATAAACAAATGTTGCTAATCAATTTTGTTTATAAACATTGTTAATGTAGGACAAAAATATTTGTATTATCATGGCTAGCGCAGTTAAATCAGCTGCACTCTTTTTTTACTAGTTTTTGGTTTGGTTTTATGAAAAAGCCTTATATTATTAACTAGTCGTGTGTGCTTGCATTGCAAGCCTTGCAAGTATTATGCCTGTAGTTTTGAAATTGTGTTCCATTCTATGACTGAGATATTTTAAGTTTACTTTATTTTTTTACACACCCGTAATATACATATAGATATGTTTTTTCCTAATAAATAATAAGATAAAACTTAAAATAAGAAAAGATCCAAAATTAATTACCAAAAAATACATAAATAAACAAATAATTAGTTCGCGTACCTTTTGAGTAATTTATTTTAGAACCTCGCTTTGAGTTATGTCGCATAAAATCGTAAAATACCTTTTACAATAAGCACTTTAAGCGATAAATAACTGTATACGCATAAAATAATTCGCTACTAAAATGCATGCACGTATGAATTTGGAGTTTATAATACATGCGAATAAAACGCGTGACTGTAGAATGAGTTAACACTAATCCTAACGTATATAGGGTAATGCGTATAACATACGATTTCTATGCAAAAAGTCCCAAGTTCGACCCCTGAAAAATGCGATTTGCCAGATGAACTTTTTTTTATTGATAATTTTATTTTTTTTAAATTAAAATTGAAAAAGCTTCACCCTTACAAATCAATATCAGCGAGTTTCCGTTCTAAATGTTTTTTTGAAAATACCCTATTTGTAAAAAGTTTAATGCAATAGAATAACATTTTCTTATAAAATATTGCCCTAAAAATATATTGTCAAGAAGTTTAATGTACACTACATATGTTTTGCTTACTCATACATTTTGCAGCAGATCACAAAAAGAATGCATAACTAAATGCGCACGTACATACATACTTATTATAAAATAGTGTAGATTTTATTACAACTTTACAATTTTCTTAAGAAAGTGATCACTTTTTGTTATAACTCACACTTCCAAATATGAATTTACATACAATATTTATACAACCAAAAGTAAATGAAAAATTACCCCTACCATATGTAGTACCATTTTGTAAAAAACGGTCACAAAGCACCTTGGGAGGGGGTGAAGGGGGAGGGCGGGTGGAATTAAGGCTTTTTCTGGGACCCTGGAGGCAAGAAACCGTATCTAATGCCCTTTTTCCCATGTCTCTAGCACTTCTAGAAGTACCCGTACTTTTTGCCACCTGAGAAGTAGCTATATATATATGTATAATGTAAAATATGATGGTTTTTGATGAGTTATACGAAATATGAATAAAATATAGAATTATAAAGGAAAATTCAAGGTACTGCGTAGCCTGGTGGGTAGCGTGTTAGTCTGATAATCAGAAGGTTATTGGATCGATGCCAGCCTGGATATTGTCGTATTTTTCTTTTTTGGATTATTTTAAAAAATTTTTTTTTAATTTGTTTAAATTTTTGTTTTATTTTTTTTTAATATATAACAGATAAATATTATTATAAAAGTTTAAAGAAAATTTCCAAAAAAATATTGTTATAATAGTTAAGTACATAAATATGTATATTTTTTTTAAAGCTTCCCATCTAATTTTTTTTAAGCTTCCTATATGAATTGAATAATATTCAAAACTGTGGTTTGGCATATAGAAACACATAATAATTATTAAATCATGGGGGTAATATACATAAAGAATTTTTCAAATAAAGAAAAGATTTAGGCAAAAATAAAATAATAATTGTATTCAAATATATGTATGTATGTACATATGAATGTAATTTTTCAAATAAAGAAAAGGTTTAGGCAAAAACAAAATAATAATTTTATTAAAATATATGTATGTACATATGAATGTATTTAAAATTTAGCATTTTTTCGCTTAGAACAATAAAAATAAAATTCTAACTACATATATTATATTCTGTATGTATGTATATTTTTTTAAAGTTTGATGACGAAACATAATATTGAAAACAACAACAAATGAAGCATTATTATTCAGATGCCACAAAACATCTGATGTCTTTGACAAAAGCTGACATTTATTTACGTTAAAATTATTTCGATTTTCCGAACCAAAAATATGTGAGATCATTATAATTTTCAAATATTACTTATTTCTCGGTTTGTGTTTCTAATAAAAACGTAAAATGTATCATTTATTTCTTGCTTTGTGTTTCTAATTATAAAAAGTATAAAAGAAAAACGTGCTTTTGGTATACAAAAATTTTTCAGAAAATCCTAAAATAGAGCTATTTCGGCGCTAAAAAGTTCCAATGTCAGATTTTTCTGGGACCCTGGAGGCAAAACCCTATCTAATGCCTTTTGTCCCATGTCTCTAGCCCTTCTAGAAGTACCCGTACTTTTTGGTACCTGAGAAGTAGCTATATACATATATATATAATATAATTACAATTTGCTAAAATTCTGCTCCGAATATTCGTAATGGAGTAATTATAAAATATGTGCGTAGTAAAAATTGCTGTCAAAGTCTACGAAAGAAATAATCACTCGTTACCAGCAATATAAAGTGTTTGCTTCAAATTTCAGTTTTCGATTTTTATACCTTTACGGACGTATGTTCAAAGGTATTCTAAATTTAACTTGTCGGTTGTTACGCTAAAAAATAATGGTCTCATTATGTTTTTGATCAGCGTAGATTTAGCTTTGTGTGTCCGCCAAAGTTAATTGAGCTAAGTTCACAAAATTTTTACAAATGATTTATTATAGTAAATGCCAAAACCCTGTTTAAGTTTTATATGATCGGGGTACTGGTTCGTGTAGCTACCATACAACTTCAAAATTTATTTGATTATATCCTAGAAACTATAAAAGCTCTGGTATTGAATTTTAGTATGAACAAATATATTAGAAGGGCCAATGTGTTTAATAAAAGTTGTTAAAATTGTTTGGCACCTTCTGGTAGCTGCCATACAACTTCAAAAGTTATTTGACTTTATCTCAGAATGTCTATAACATCTGTGATAGCGAAATTTCACACATTCGAATATGTGTATTATTAAGACAAATGTGTTTGGTAAAATACAATTAATATGGTTTGATAAAATTAATACGGTAATAAAATATTTTAAAGCCATATACCGTCCCATAATCAGCTATTGCAAATGTATTCGCATATAGGAAAACAAATTCCTTGGGGTATCCCAAAGTTGACACGGTCAGCTCTATTTTTTCTGGCTTTGTTTAAAGTTCTTCAACACAGCTACCATGAAAGGAAATTAATTCTTGTTTGCTAACTTTTATTTTTCACTTTTCAAAAAATAAAAACAAAACTGCAATACTCCTATTTTTAAAAAATATTCTTATGAAAAAGTTTTACTTGTATACAACGAGGTGATGTGGCGAATTTTTTTATTTAACAAAATATTCAATTCAGACATAGCTACTTTTCAAATGTACGTATGACATACATTGCTTCACTTAGTCGCCACCTTCTTTTTTTTCTTTGATTGCATCTTTGAATCTCTCCTCAAAAAGCGACAATTCAGAAATTAAATCAGTTATAGCACCCATAAAGGCTTCTTGGGGTGAATAATCGGACGTAGTTTGAATTCTTATGACAAACTTATGTTCCAGCGGATGAGGAACTTTATATCCAGCGAATAATACGTTAGGATCTTTAAGCAATTGCTTACGAATCCTACAAAAAAAAAGGAATTAAGTTGAAGATCAACGATTACTCTCGCTTTAAGATTTTTGTATACATATTCCCCAAGGTATGATCTTCCTTATTTACTGTGAAAATAGCCGCATTTGTAACTTTTGTATCAAGTTCTTTTATAATTTTCTTTTCACCTTCGTATAACAAAAAGGATTCAAATGTTGGTGGTGCGTTCATAATTTATTTTTTGCAGAAAGCAAATTAAGGTTGAATAATTAACTTAAATATACTATTTCTTATTATTATATTATGCCTGTTTCTTATTATTATATTATCCTTATTTCTTATTGAGTTACACTTAGCACTTAGGAATCAGCTACAGTGCGAGAAAATGTATTTTATTAACAACTGGCCCTAGCAGGCACGTGCAATTTTAATCGATTTTCTCAAAAAATCGATTTGACTACTATTCATCACCAAATGAATAATTCATATTTATGAGTGTACACAACACTTGAGCGTTATTATACTCTGCACTTCGTGAAGGTATATTAACTTTGGTATGGAGTTTGTAACTACTTGAAAGAGTCATCTGCGGTATGGACATATATACATATATGTATATTCTTGGTCAGCGTAAAATTCTGCGTTGATTTAGACATGTTCGTCCGTCTGTCCGTTCGTCTGCCCGATCGCACGATAACTCAAAAAGGACGAATCCTATTGTAATTGGACTAATTCGGACAATGGGTTCGGGTAGCTGCCATACAACCCAAAGCGTTTATTTTAAATATTTCGAAAACTAATAAAGGTATAAATATAAAATTTTGCGCACATGTCTCCAATTATACTCTACAAAAATTTTTTATATTCGGAAAAATAATAAAATCAGATTTATGAAACTTGCCAGTCATGTATCAAATTATTGGTCAGATGTATTTCTGAAGTCTTGGTTGAATTTATTGACAAGTTCGAGTAGCTTCAATACAAGTCTAAAAGCTTATTTTAAATATTTGTAAAAATAATAAAGTCAGATTCATGAAACTTGGTAGTTGTGCGTCCAATTATAGATCAGATATATTTGTGAAGTTTTAGTGGAATTTATTGACAGGTTCGGCTACCTGCCATACAACTCCAAAAGCTAATTTGAAATATTTGGAAAAATAATAATGCAGATTCGTAAAACTTGGCAGTTGTGTGGTCAGTTATAGGTCAGAAATATCCGTGAAGTTTCTATGGCATGTTTTCGCAGGTTCTAGTAATTGCTATACAACAACCAAAGGTGCAGGGTATAATTAAATCGGTTTATACCGACTGAAACGATTTTGCTTGTTTTTATTAGCATCTGCCTCATTTCTTTTTTCTCATTATCGACTTAATAAAAAATTAGTTTTGCATCTTTAACTACCTTAACTTTCTGTTTAACGAGTTTTAACTCCTATGAGTTAAAATCTATATGCATAAGCATAGCGAAGAAAACAAAAACTTTCATATCCCGTGAAGTTTTTTCTTGATCTGCGCATATACTTTCGATGTGATGCACAACTGAATTACAATGAAATTTTACAGCTATACACACAATCGCGAATTATCTGGTTTTATTTCTATTGTAATCATTGAGATCATTGAAACTAATCTGGAATGTTAGTTTCGGAAGGCAAAAGAAAATCAGATTGAAAAAATTCCGATTGAAAAATGTCCATAACAGTTTCGTGTATGTATATATAATATTTTAATTGGTATATATAATTACTGATTGACATCAGACATTGCCACTACCCTATTTTCGTCATACTTATTGTCACAATTTTTAAAAGTAAAATGACGGTAATAAATTTTTTTTGAGGATTTGTATGTAAATTTTAAGTTCCGTAGCAAAATTTTGACACACATATTGACGTAAAGCCTGAGCTTATATGTAAACAGTCATCAGAATTTATCGTAGATTTTGACGTATTTCTAAACAGTACAGAATGTGAATACTTGTAATAGAGTAATCATAAATTACGTTCGCAGTAAAAATAACTCTCAAAAGTCTACGAAGGTATAATCACACTTTACAAGCAATTTAAAGAGGGTGTTTGTTTTAAATGTCAAAGTTTTTAATTTTTTTTGTTTATATTTGAGTTCTTCTAACATTGAGGAAACGAATTCATATTTGCTAAATATAATTTTTTTTCACTTTTCAAAAACAATCTAAAACAAAAAAAAAAAACTGCAAAACTCCGTTTTTAAAAAACATCCTTTTTTGTGAAAGTTGTGTACTTAAATAGCAACAAAAAAACATAAATAAGCACTTGACAGTTGAAATTGAATACAGATTTTGACATTCCGGAAAATTGTGTTGCTATTGCTATTTCATAATCTCTACGAAAGGAATTTGTGATAATTTAAAAGTCTAAGTTCGTAATTCGTAGAATTCTACGAGTGGAATTCATGATAGGGCTGTTAGTATATCGTAATTGATAATATGATATCCGTAATTTTTTGAATTTCAGAGCTACGAACGAAATTCATGATAGGGCATCAGCATCAACGAAGGGACAGCAGTCCTCAACAAAAAACAACAGGCAATAGCATTTCAGAGGTAGTAAGTCATCGGAGATCTACAAGAATGAACAACAGGACAAAAAGACCAAGGATGAAGAATCGAAAGTAGGTTGTTGTACTTTTATGGCAGCACTATTGGTGCCATAAAAGTACAACAACCAGATACACCAATTATGACATCGTCCTCAGTCCTCACGGTGGCACAAAAACCAACAGACAAAGGACATCACTATAAAAATAGACAGCGAAATAATTCGAAAAGAACAGTCTAAAAAAATCAAAGACTTGGAAATGCTTTGTCAAGAGCTCAAAAGAGAAATAAGTGAACTTAGATCTGTAAATAATGATCTTAGAAACAAACTAAGTAGCCACTCAAAAGAAAAAGAAAATATGCCAAAAAAATACTTCACAGATAAGGAAGAATTAGCCAAAGAAATTGAATGGAAAATTTAAAAGAATCTGGGAAAGAAAAGGAAAGCAGGAAGCTCTACAGAGATAGGTAACAACAATCAAAAAAACTCCTCAGAAAATACAATTGTAGTATTAATGTGACATCATATCCTGAGCCTGATAGGGGAGCAAAACACAAGCCTTCACCAGTAATTTTAAATAACATAAACGATTACAACACAGTCAAAAGTATTCTAAAGGAAAAAAATATACGCTACGAAGTGAAAGTTTTAAACAACAAACAGCTGAAGGTAAAGGAAGGAAACCACGCTAAAACAGTAAATGAAAAGAAATTCGAATGGTATACATACGAAAACAAACTTACAAGGCCAATTAAAGTGGTTGCAAGGGGTCTTCACCCATCATGTCTGCTAGTCATGGGCAATATCGTTCATTTCAGTGATTTTTTCTAAACGAACTACTTTTTTTGGTTTACTTCTCTTCTGTATATGTATATAATTGCATGTTTTTTGGTTATAATTATATGGCTATTCGTATTTATGGTAAATTTTAAAGAAAATAATATGTAATGGGTTTGTAAATTAGTAATAAGTTTTGAACCACAAAATGCCTCTACTTATATAAATCAAAAAGTTTGAAACGTAGAGAAAAATTTAAAATTTTTACTTAACAAACTGTTAAGTTATAAATAATTTCTTAAATTTGAAGAAATAAAAATTTTAAACTATTTGAGTTTAAATTTATTATTTCTTATAAGAAATTTATTGAATAAAAGTAATTGTAATTATCTTTATTTTTAATCCACGAAAAAAAAAGCAAAAATTCTATTCTAATTTTTTTAAACTTTTGTTTAAATTACTTTAACCGTTTAAACTTAATGGGCTAGAAAGTTAAATCATAATGATTAATTTTTTTTTAGCTTTTTCTTTTATTTAAAATATTTAGGCAAAAAAGCGATTATAATTATTATCTTTTTTTGAATATTTTATGCATAAATAGAAGACATACAGGTACCTTTCAATTTGAATTAGTTAGTCCAATCTTTCAATTTTCTTATTTAGATAGATTTTTTTTGACACTTTTCTTTGTATTGCATTTATATTACGAAATAGGCACATGTGACGTGGATCAGTCAGTTTTATTTGTATTACATGTTACTTATATTTCGTTTTTCTTTGGATTACATGTAGCCATAGGCTATTTAATATATTGCTCAATTTTATTTGCATTGGATTTCATTTATACTTCATGTCACGTTTTGTACAATACTTTTATTTGTATTGTATATTATATTAGTAAGGTAAGTGATTCGGTCACTGGTATTTGTATAGAATAAAATTTTATTTACTTCAGGTCTCGTTCGTTTTTATTTGTATTGGGTTTAGCATATCGTTCAATTGTACTTGTATTGTATTTATATTTTCAACTGATTCGGTCATTTTGGTGTGTATAGTATATCGTTTATTTTACTCTTCATTTGCTATTATAAATATTGTATATGTGTTATTTAGTATGTCGTTCAATTTTATTTGTATTAGGTAATATTAATTCAGAGAGAAATCAGGAAAAATATAAAATATATATCAATTACCAATTGTAAATAAAATATGTATATGCAGTAATTTTTTTTAATACATAACCAAAAAAGAGAATGAAATTCTTAGTGAACGATGAACGATTCATTTTTAAAGAAGTGAACTAATCAGGTAAGTTCAGTGAAGTGATTCATTTTTGAAGATTAGTTCGTTCGCGAACGACACATGACTAGTGTCTGCCAGAATATGTTGTGGAAGAACTAAAAGAAAAGGGCTTCAAAATACACGTAGAATTTAATATAGCTAAAAAAATTAGAGAAGATGATAAAATAAATTAATGTCTTTTCCCGCTTTTTTTAGACAATGGGAAAATAAAAAAATATTTATAATATCACGATATCCAAAGTACGAAAGTTAAAATAGAGGTTCCCAAAAAAAACGGAGAGACTCCACAGTGTAAAAGATGTCAACGCTATGGCCATACTACAAAGTTTTGCAGCAGAGAGATGACATGTGCAGGAAATTACCTGACAGCTTCCTGCTCAAAGCCAAAATCAGTCGCACCAAAATGTTCAAATTTCAAAGAATCTTATCCAGGCAGTTACAAAGGATGTGCGGCAGCCATAGATCTACAAAGAAGAAAAAACATAAACAAAGATATAAAATAGTAAAGTCAGCCGAAAGTATTCACATCAGCGAACGTAATAAGTGATGTGACATACTCCGATAGCACTGCACAAAAAAACTTAGAACTCAAACGGCGTTCTCAATAAAAAATTACAATTAGAAACTATATTAAAGTTAAAAAATATAGATATATGTCTTACATCAAAATGCCACAATGTCAAAGAAATTATCCATAAAGAAACAAATATTCAAGGAAATGATCCAATTACTGGAGGACAGATTTA